TCTTACTTGGAATAGATATAGTTTTCGGATCAAAATAACCCGCTTTCATTCAATTATTAAATTTAACATGAATTTACATATTTGTTCGCAAAATAATACAAATTAAAATAATACAAATACACTTGGTGAATTTTATTCCGGCTTAGAAAAACAAAAAAGGAACAGAACAACATTCATACTCAACGGGCTATTATCATAAATAGTAATCGCTCGCGAATTACATCGAATTACATCGAATTACAGCAAGCGGTTAAGCAAAACCGCTCTCTCAGCGTGTCTAAACCGCCATTTATTTCCGGACAAACTAATGATAGTTCCGCAGGGGAGCGCGCGAACGAAAAAAAGCTCGTTTCCACAAAAGGCGGATCAATTTGAAAAAAAGAAAAACAGAAAAAAACGAGCAAATTCCTTAAAAGACCGGCGAGACCGAGCAAAAAGGTTAGAACGGTGTTAGCGTCGTTTTTGCCTGTCGCGGCGATTTTGTCACGAATGCAGAAAAATCCTGCGAGCGTTCGCGGAGAGAACTACGGGCGAAACGGGTCGGCGGGGGGGTGTGGAGGCGGGCAGAGGCGGGCGAGAGAATCGCGGCAGCCTCGGAGGTTTTGAAATAGCGGCACGGTGCATCGCCGGCTGCAAAAAGGAAAGAAAATCGGAGCTCTGCAGGTGTAACGCCCGCAGCGACCGGGTGATAAAATGCGCGCGGACTTTCGATGCAACGGGGTTCGGATAGGGTGGAAGGAGGGTGGAGAGAAAGAAACCTTTCGCGATGCCCCGGGCTCGATAAAAAATGCAGTGATCACGTTTCGACAGAGACTTCGGAATCTTCAATCTGCCTGCGCTTCTTCTGATTCTCAGTTCTCGCGCGCGCGCGCGCGCGTGTTCGCGCTCATCCAGCTCGAGAGCAGCGTTTTGTCGATGCAGTTTTGGGCGCTTCGGGTCACACCCAGGGTAACATAGAACAGATGTTTCTTTTACTGTACCGGATAATTTGTGCGTCGCAGTCGATCCGATCGACGGGGAACAGAGTTACGCGAAATTTCGATCGATTTGCTCGAAGAATTATATATATTAAATTATACTATGCTATTATTATTGCTATAGTATTAGCATTATTATGTACTATTATTATTGCTATAGTACTAGTATTATTATATACTATTATTATTGCTATAGTACTAGTATTATTATATACTATTATTATTGCTATAGTACTAGTATTATTATATACTGTTATTATTGCTATATCACTAGTATTGTTATATACTATTATTACTGCTATAGTAGTAATATTATTATATACTGTTATTATTGCTATAGTACTAGTATTATTATATACTGTTATTATTGCTATAGTATTATTATTATTTTATACTATTATTATTGCTATAGTACTAGTATTATTACTATAACTATATACCTGTCTCTTATACACATCTAGATGTGTATAAGAGACAGGTATATAGTTATAGTAATAATACTAGTACTATAGCAATAATAATAGTATATAATAATATTACTACTATAGCCTGTCTCTTATACACATCTAGATGTGTATAAGAGACAGGTATATAGTTATAGTAATAATACTAGTACTATAGCAATAACAATAGTATAAAATAATACTAATACTATAGCAATAACATCAGTATATAATTATACTAGTACTATAGCAATAATAATAGTATATAATAATATTACTACTATAGCCTGTCTCTTATACACATCTAGATGTGTATAAGAGACAGGCTATAGTAGTAATATTATTATATACTATTATTATTGCTATAGTACTAGTATTATTATATACTATTATTATTGCTATAGTACTAGTATTATTACTATAACTATATACTAATAATAATAGTTATTATTAGTATATAGTTATAAATTAATATATTATTACTATATACTATATTATTATACTATATTATTATTAAATTATATAATTCGTAGTTCGCTTCGCCGTGGAATTAAAGGCGAAACTGGAGAACAGTTGCCTTCCTCTTCAATTCTGACGGGCCTCGAGTGTGTTATAGAACTCAACATTTCGAACAACTTTTTATATATATTTCCGTAAACATATATTTCCGTATATGCCGTGCACTCGCTCGGTAGTTTCCGAGACACAGTAAATTCCCCCTAATCGACGGTCAGATTGTACACGAAAATGGATTATTCGAGCTTCGCGGCTCGTTCTTACAGTCGGCGATCGTCAACGATTACAAAAATAATCGTACCCCCTCTTCCCAAATCGTCCATTTTCGTTCACAAGCTACGGGACAATCGGGGAGAATTTACTCCGAGCGGAAAATACGGGCAACGGATGGCGAAGGCCATCGTTTTTTTCGTTGAAAAGAAAGAGTACCGCGATGGCTGTCGCTTCGAAAAACACTAGGAATTACCGAACCACGCCGCGGCGTCGTAATTGGCTCGGTAATCGATGAAACGGATCCTCGAACACGTTCGAACATGCATTAAATACATTTCTGCGATATAAACCTGATTCAATGGGAGCAGCGGTGTCCCGATTACCCCAGCCGGGTAATCACATTTTCAAATTAACAAATCAGGCCGGTTATCAACTTAACTTTTAATTGAGAACAATAGCACCTGCGTATTCGGCCCGGAACAGTTCGGCCCGCAACCGTAACTCTCCGTTCTGTATTACTGAACGGTTGTTTTGCCATTGCACCCACGGAAATTCAATTCAGAAGGGAACAAATGGGCGTGGCTAATTGGAAATGTTTGAGTTCGCGGCGAATATTAAATCGGCACACACATAGCCGCGCGTAGATAATCCTTTCGGACGTCGAGAAAGAATTACGAATTTTAGTGAACTACGGCGATGTTAACTGCTTCGAGCAATAGAGAGTACAACAAAAAGAGTAACGTGTCCTTTTAACAATGTAAGCTCTGCTTAAGAAGATTTCGTTCGGCCAACCGATCGGAAAATTACGCGAGTCGATTGCTGTGCTTTAGGTGCAGTAATGTCTCTCTAATTGACGCTCAGATTGTCCACAGAAATGGACAATTTCGGAACAGGAGATACGATTGTTCGAACTTTGCAGCTCGTTTCTATAATTGTTGATAATCGGTGATTATAAAAACTTAACCGCAAGGCTCGAATAATCGTATCTCCTCTTGTCAAATTGCCCATTTTTGTGTACAAGCTGTGGGTCAATTAGGGAGAGTTTACTGTATGTTCCCGATGATAATAGACGGTAATCGTTATGCAAAATATACAGTGTGACAAGTAATCGTATCTCCTCTTCCCAAATTGCCCATTTTTGGGTACAAGCTATGGGTCAATTAGAGAGAATTTACTATAAAGTGTAACCCTCGTATTGCAATATGTCTATTACCTGTCATGGCTGCGCTGTTGATTATTTTAATCTGTGCATTTTATATTTAAAAAAAACCGTGAAATGTGTATATACATATATATTATTATATTATATTATATTATATTATATTATATTATATTATATTAATTGCAGACGAAATGAAATTATTACGGAGCACCTTTTCACAGCACGTTGCTGTACATTATTATTAGACAATAATTTTTCTAACATTAAATTTGTAACAGTAAAAACTACAGCATTCTAGAATTCCGATTCAATCGCAATTAAACGATTGAATTAGCATGCGTGAAACTGTTAACGAGTTTATACACGCTGGATAAATGTTTGGGCTCAGCCAACAGATTAAGAACATTTCATTAATTTTCGATACAATATGACATCGGTACATTGTTAAATTATTTAAACGACCTATACAACTCGATAAATTCAATTCGGAATCGTATTATCGTTGTCGCGTCCGAGATACCGATTGGTTAATTGAATATTTAATTACCTCGGATCATACAGGGTGGTCCCGAAGTCGCGAGTCGGTTCGAAGTTATTAGCATTTTTCTACTCGTTGAATATTTTAATAGTCGCATTTTACACAATAAATCGTGAAATGCGTGGATCGCGTGAGATTAATCGCAGGAGATGAAATAATTACCTTTGATAAATAATTACCCTGCAATAATTACCCTTCTTATAGCACCGTTGCTGTACACGGTGTCGCTTTCGACCACCCCTTAACCTGCTACGCCCTGTGTTAATTGTTACTTTGTTCGCAAATGCAATTGATATTTCCTGCTTTCGATCTACGTAAGCTTTTTTATACTTTAAAGTAAATTAAAGTATAATAAATTATTTATATATATTATAATGTATTTTATATATATATTATATATATTATATTATATATTTTATATATATATTATATGTATATTATATATATTATATTATATATATTTTATATATATATTATAATATATTTTATAATTATTATATATTTAAAGACAATTTTTGCGGCTCGTTTTCACAGTTACCGATCGTCGAAAACCATGGAAACGAGCCACGAGGCTCGAACAATCGTCTTCTGTTCCCAAATTCTCCATTTTCGTCTGCAAATCCTAGCGTCAATTAGAGAGAACTTGCTGTATTCGAACGCTTCTAACAAGCTGAGTAACAAATCTAAGAGCATCGACTTAGAAAAAATACATTCAGCTCGCGAAGCAATCGAAAAGAAGAGAATATGGAAATACCGTCGCAGGACGCAACGTTCGGCGATTCCTTTCGATTCTCGATTATGTCGTAGTGGAAGTTCGGCTATCTCTGTGCCGCTCGGAACAGACGAAATCGCGAAGTTCCGAGGACGGCGAGCAAAGGGGAAACAAGGTCGATCAATTTGCCGCACGGAGGAGCTTTCCGCGCGAATTACGTAGCCTGGATCGCGCGGCGGCGAGTCGAACTCAAGGAACGAGCACGGTCCCCCCGGAGAGAAGCGCACTTAACCTCGCGGTGATTCCCCCGCTGAACGCAATCAATGCTTTCTATCCTCAGCTGCCACTAATTTTGAGGCTTAACCAGACACAAGCGGCACAACACGTGTCGATAGAATCGAACCGGCGAGACGGCGCGAGCTGGAAATCCGCCGCACGCCGCGGCAGCCGTCGTCGTTCAACGTTGCTTAAAACGACCGTCGAGCACACGTCACGGTGCTCGAGTTATCAACAACAGGTGGCTCACAAGTAAGTGACTTTGATTTTCCGGCGCCCGTTTATCCACACCGCTCCTCGAGAAAATGTGATCAATCTAACGTTACGTGTCGTCGACCTGGAATCGTCGCGCGACGATAAAACCTCTTTTGCCGAGCGTTAAGCTCGCCGGGATTTTTCTGGCCTCGCCTCGTTTGAGAAATCGTATATTCCGTTAAAGAGCACTTAAATCGAAGTTACGCGTGACAAATCGACTGTCGCGGCGACTAAGGGCTGTCTGCTTAACCCCCGGGATCGCCTGCGCGGCGGTGTACACTTCGAGGGTCGGTTGCTCCGGGGTAACCAATTACTGTGCCTCCGGTTGTCAAATTTTTGCATTCATTTATCCTAGTTATTTTTTGACGAAAGAAACTTCTTATTCGTAAAAGAAGCTACTGATTATTATAAAAGAAATTTCTCATTTGGCGAGTATAGAATTAATTATCCACGAAGGCACAGCGATTGGGACCTAACCGCACAGTAACCGACTCTACTAGTCTATCATGAGTTCGAGTTATCGTCGAAATAATTTGTTCTTTTTCTATTGATTATTTCATATTGGCAATTTCCCTCGAATCAAATGTGTAAATATTTTTTGTGGATAGTTTCCAATTCTTTTTTAATTTTATGGTGCATAAAATCAGCAGAACGTATCGTGCTCTAAACAAGAAAATTCCCTTAATCCTTTCGTAATTAACAGAGATTAAATATCAACGTAGAAAAGTATGACTTTCGAGGCCACGTTGTTTTATTCTTGGTTTCTCTTGCAAGTGCGTTATAGAGCAGTCAGATTATTTAAATTATATATTATTATATGTGTATAGTATTCTTATATATTACTATATAATATTATATAGTATAGTAATATATAATAGTATATAATACTATTATATAATATTATTATATAATAGTATTGTTATATATTATTATAATATAATATAATAATATTATATACTATTATATATATATTACTATATAATATTATATAGTATAGTATTATATAATAGTATTCTTATATATTACTATAATACAATAATATTATAGTAATATCTAATAATATATAATATATAAATAATAATATATTATACAGTAAACGTAACGCGTAACCAATCCATAAGTCACAGCGCCTAATTCACAGTTAGGGTTGTATTCGTCTCACGTAACCTCTTGGCCATGCTCACGCTACTCGCGCGGCGTCTAATTCATTCAAATGTCAAATGTTTGCACAATTGTTTTAATTTTGCTGCAAGCTGTATGTTCACGTATACGCATTTGATTTGTAATTAAATAATTATACAGGTGTGACATATAAGAAACCGAGTCACGAGAAACGGAATTAGGAGATCCCACATGGTATTTAAGAAACTGTGAACGTATTAAATTGTTCGAGTTGAGTAATCCCCCTCGCTTATCACGTCGAATTTGACAAGACAACAGACATTCGTCTGCTCATTAATTCTGCACATACGTTCATTCGATACGCAACTTTTGCACACCGTATGAGTATTTATTTAAGGAGTGATTTAAACAGCAGACACAGTTTGAAAAGTTGTTCCTACGAAGACACGTAACGTTATGAATGTGATTACGATCGTTTCTAATATCCTATTATCCTTCTCTATCTTCGACTCTTCACACATTAACACCAGAACTACCGAGCATGAAACTCAATCAACATACGAGCCGTCGAAAGTAGAAACGGTGTAACTCGAGAAAGTTAATTTATTGAATAACGAAGGACGAATCGAAAGTTCTGTGAAATGCAATAATCGTGTAATAATGCAGTAAAATCGATACGACTCTCTCTTTCAAGAAATTAAATATAGTATTGAATTAAACATGATTTATTAATAGTAAATCAATCTAATAAAACATTAATTTACACTACTTTCGCTTCGAACGGTTCATATATCGTTTCAGAACAATGAAAGAATTGGGCTCATTCTCGAGTGACGAAGTTTATTGAAGAAATACTCAATGAAAATATTTTTACAATTTCCGTAATTGTAAAAGAAACAAGCAAAGACAAATAGTTTCACCTGCCCTGTAATTCTAGTTTCAAGTATAGTAGTAATTCATGATGTAACGAGGTCGTAAGGTTGTTTCTATGAAATTGTTATCTCCGACAAATTATTGTCATCTAAAATTTGCGAAATTAATAACATGATGTACACGGTGGCGACTTTACAAAACTGAATTAGTTCGTCGATAAAGTAACCAAGAAAGAAATGTACATCAAATTTTAGAGCCACGTTCGATAGGAAAAAGTCACTATTTTCTAATCAGTGATAAATTCAATCGTGAGACAAATTTTACAGTACAGTAATGTCTCCCTAACTGACGCTCAGATTCTGCACAAAAATGGACAATTTGGAAAGAGGAAATACGATTATTCGAGCCTTGTAGCTCGTTGTTATAGTTGTTGACAATTGAGCCGTTTATTTTGAAAGTGGCATAAGTCACTTTACCGTAATGAAAAGTGGTGATCTTTTAATGTTTATACGAAATTATTTATACTGAGAAAAATATCAGTATCCTGAGATATATCGCTATATAATATCACTACGTAGCAATGTATATCGCTATATATCACTATATATCGCTACATAATATCACTATGTAGCACTGTATATCGCTATATATCGCTATATATCACTATATATCGCTATATATCGCTATATATCACTATATATCACTATATATCACTATGTATCGCTATATAATCGCTAAGTGTCACTATATATCACTATGTAATCACTATATATCACTATATAAATATAGTGATTCCTTTATAGTGTTCCTTTATAGTGATATTATATAATGATATATGTATAGTGATTATATAACAATACATAGTGATACATATTGATACATAGTGATATATAGTGATATATAATGATACACAGTGATACGTGTACATGCATGCGTATCTATATATCCAATTTTAGAAAAGTTATTGCGTTTTCAAAGATGTAATATCTCTTTTTACCCATTGCATGTGTCGCCAGTACGGAAACACGTACCAATAATGGTTAAAGCGAAACGGGAACTCAAAATATATTAATTTTTGCGTACATTATTTCAACGTACTTCGAGAACTAAACGCGAAACAGAAAATCTAATCGCTCCACGTGATGGAACGAATCTTATAAGGAAATATGAGCCGTTTATTTTGAAAGTGACTTAAGTCACTTTACCGTAATGAAAAGTGGTGATTTGTTAATGTTTATACGAAATTATTTATACTGAGAAAAATATCAGTATCTGAGATAACAAATACAAGTAAATCTCCTCGAAAGTTGGCATCCATATTTTGAAACGTGTTAAAACGCAAACTCTGAAATATATCGACTTGAAAACAAAGTGACTTATGCCACTTTCAAAATAAACGGCTCAATTCGTAACTATGAAAAACGAACCGCAAGGCTCGAATAATCGTATCTCCTCCACCCAAATTGTCCATTTTTTTGTGCAGAATCTGAGCGTCAATTATAGAGAAACATTACTATATTTCTAAAGCTGCTCGGCTTCGTAGCATTTCCGCGACAAAAAGCGTCTCTTGTGCTCCAAATTAGCCGTTTCATGCACAGCTTATTTTACAGGTGCAATCGGACGCGGATCAATATTGCTAATATTTGAACGTTCTCCATATCATTGCGGTTTGCCAATAAATAATGGCAATATTGATATACCGTGTACCGTCAATATTTATGTATGATACTGTCAATACGATGTATTGAAGTATCGTCAATCCAATATATATTGAAATACCGTCAATACAGTATATTGAAATATCGTCAATATCGTATTGACAATATGTACAGATCATCGTAGAGTCGTTTTACACCTACAGTGATCCAGAGAACGTCGAAATATCGACAGCATACACGGCGAGTAAGAAAAACATTCGGACACCCCATAAAACGATGTAACTTTTTTAAAAGCGAATCGAGCATCAAGAACAGACTAATCGTTTCATAAAAGACGATCAATCTCAACGAAACAGCTGATCAATTGACCGAGTATTATACTATACGTTGTGCCTTTAAATAACATTGTAGCAAAATTAATTAGCAACGAACGACCTCGCTAAATCATGACAGTTACTATACAGCGTGTTCCTTTAACTTTTTCGTACATTTTTCCGTGCACTTCCGTCGATCTGTCAAATAAAAATGTTTCGAACGAACGTTCAATCAGTTGCCGACAATCGACTCTCCTTCCTAGCCAAAACTTTTCCCCAGGAATCACTTTAACACTAGAACTACCAGACGATCATGGTGATGATCGTAACGATGATCAGGATGTTATCATCGAGATCCGTTTTACTTGCACCTGTGTCGCGATCGAAGAGCACCGAAAGTGCTCCTCCGAGCCGGTCAGCTCTCGTATTCGGTACTTCTGGTGTTAAACTTTCTATTGTTCAACTCACTGTAGCCCGCTGAACGTGTTCACCCAACAGAATCCCCAGCACGACCGTAGTGTTCCCGCAGTAATCGGCCGACGCTCGTGTCTTCCGTCGATCATCGTAGTACGAAAGAACGGAAACGAAAGTCGAAAACAAAAACAAAAAAAATAACGATAACAGAAAACACGAACAACAACGACGAAAAAAAAGTAAAAAAAAAAAACTAGCACGAATTCGAACGGCGGTCGTCGGAGGAAACCGAGAAAACAAAAAGAGGATTTTTGCCTTGTGAGCGCAGCTCCGCCAGCACGAGCGCAACGACCGAAACTCCGGGCTGCTTGTCGAAGTGCAGCAAGTGCCTGGACGACATGAGGCTGATGCAGAGACTGGCGGTTAGCGGATTGTTGTCCGTCATACTGATCGTCCTTCTGACGGGAACGTTCGTGACCCGTCGGAGCCTGGCGAACATGGTCGATCGCGGCGTGGCGCCGGAAGAGCGGAACGAGCAGCCGCTGAACCCGGCCTGGGTGCTGCACAACACGGTCCCCGGCCCCGGCCCGGACGAGCTCAAAAACGAAGACAAGGATCGACGCGTGGACGCCGCCGCAAATAGACAGTCAGAACCGTCCGCGGTTGGCCCCCCGCCGATCCCCGTGCCCGCCCCGTATGCCATTAAACTGCCTAATCCACCCCTGGACGATGTGACTAATCAGCGCCGCGAGAAGATCAAAGAGGTAAGCGGCTCCATATAGTTTCTACAAGCTCTTCTTCTACCCGCGTTGCGTCACTGGTAATTACCTGTGCGTGCCCGGGACCTTCCGTGACCGGACCACGTGTTACGGTCTACTTTGCGGTAGGTTTACGGAAAAGTTCGCGCGGGGCGAGAGGAATGATCGATTTCGAAATCACCGGGCGCGAAAGCAACGTTCGCAATTGCTCGCGATCCGTTTGCAAACGCTTAAGGGTGCAGGTCTGAATTTTAGCCAGTTGAAGACATTTCTGATATCTTGTTTTATTAAGTTGCATATGCAATGACTCAAAAGTCGCTCAAAATCGGGGAACAGGGATTCCTCAGGTCATTTCGAGCAACTTTCTCCTCAGCGAAAATGCAATCCGCTGCTTCGTTTACGAGTTATTCACGGAAAACGCTGGCCAATGAGAGGCGAGCTCGGCTGACGCGAGGCTGACGCGGCTCCCTCGCTGATTGGCTCGACCGCTTAGCGCTAGACGAGCTCGGCCGCCGCGTGTCAGCCGAGCTCGCCTCTCATTGGTCAGCGTTTTTCGTTAATAACTCGCAAACGAAGCCACGAATTGCGTTTGTGCTAAGGAAAAAGTTGATTCAAATGACCTGACGAACCTCTCATTTCCTGCAACTACCATAATCTTGGGACACCCAGTATAAATTGATCGATTTATTCGGAATTATTAGGAAATCAGCTTCGAAATTATATAGCAGTTATTATTATATTTTAATGATCTTATTATTATTATTGTTATATTTTGATAATAATAATAACTGCTATTGCTTTTCGGTATTAACAACAAGGAAGCTGAATCATGTACACACCTACTAATTGTTACTATACCGTAACAACACCGTCAGAATAAAGCTGAAGTTGTACTCACTCGAGCATTATGCAAATTTTTAAGGTGAGAATAAAGTTCATTGCTTCACAGTTGTACGACGCTCTAAAAACGTTTTCAAGATCGTTGGAGCCGTTTCGTCGGCGGAAGTATGGCGAAGTAAGTACACTTGTGTCGAAAAGTGTGTTGAACACCCATTCGAATGGAATAATTTTTTAAGAATTGTACCAAATGACTTGAATTTTTGTTTTAAAGACATTGGACCGACTATTTTATCGAACAGCGAGCAAAACAATTACAGGTTCTGACGAAAGATCTGAAAAATCATCGTTTTCTGACTCCTTCGTCGTTTCAACCGAGCGCAATTTCAGCGAAATTTTTGGTGCTCATTGCTTTGGTCTACCGTGGACAGTCTAAGATTTTCAAAAGAATTCAAATCGTTCGGACCAATTCGAAAAGGAGTTATTCTATTTGACGATTCTATTTTTAAAGATGTTAACATACGTACTTTTCGCCGCGAGTGTACCCGTCTCGGTTAAATTCCCATTCGATTGGATCGCGTGAAAGGTAAGTCTGCCGTTTCTACGAAAAACAGTTATACCCTCGTTAAATTTATTATCAGGTGACAGAATCAACGCGAATGCGATTCTCGTCCGTGGTCGATGATACACGTAACAAAAGAATACTGTGCCATCCAGGGAAGCCAAGCAAGGCTGTCCATCACCTTGATGCTGTAATTATAGTTTCGCCGAACCTGAAACTATTCAGCGTCGGGTATTGCATTATCAATATGATTTAACGACTAATTTTCCTGCAATATATAATTTCGTGCACAGAAAATACTGCAGTGCAAAAATTAGTAGTAAAATTAATACAGTAATGTCTCCCTAACTGACGCTAAGATTGTGTAGAAAACTGGACAATTCGGGAAGAGGAGACACGATTATTCGAGCCTTCTAGCTCGTTTTTATAATTGTCGACGATTGGTAACTATAAAAACGAAGAACGAGATTCGAATAATCGTATCTCCTTTTCCCAAATTGTCCATTTTTTCTAGACAACCTGAGCGTCAATTAGAGAGACATTACTGTAGTCCCGGAAATATGCGCGTTAACCTTTTAGGTACGGCTAAATTCTGCGCGAGGCTATTTCTCTGGACGGCAGAGTCTGATGTGTATTGTACAGAGTCTGATACTGTATATACAGGGTGTCCCCAAAATGTCTCGCAATCCGAAAGTGGCGGGTTCCTCGGGCCATTTGAAGCAACTTTCTCCTTTACAAAAATTTCCTCCGAGGCACCGTTAACGAGTTATTAACGAAAAACAGTGACCAATGAGAGGCGAGCTCGGCTGGCGCGAGGCGATCGAGCCAATGAGCGGAACTAGGCTTCGTGCACTGGTTGGCTAGGCCGCCTCGCGTCAGCCGTACTCGATTCTTATTGGTCACTGTTTTTCGTTAATAACTCGTTAACTGTGCCTCGGAGAACATTTTTGTAAAGGAAGAAGTTGCTTCAAATGATCCGAGGAACCCGCCATTTCCGGATTGCGAGACATTTTTGGGACACCCTGTAGACTGTTGTTAATCGATGCAAAGACAAAAGAAGTGCGAAACAATGCATATGAAGACAATTATTTGGTTCAAACGATGAGCGAGTGAGCTACTAGAGCAAGCCACTATAGTGGCGCGTCGTCCAGAGAGATGACATCCGCGAAAGCCACTATAGTGGCGTGTCGTACTGAAAGATGATATCCGCGGAAGCTACTATAGTGGCGTGTCGTGCCTAAAAGACGCCATTGACACTGCCATTGCAGAACTATAAACACGGTGCCGCGACAGACACGGTCATTCTCCGCGGCGAGTGTCGTTTCTACTTAGCCGCGATGATGTTGTTAAGGACACGAGGAGAACAAGGCGGAGCCTGAATAGGTTAAATTGAGTTCCACTTGCAAATGCGGTTTGTCCGTTTCGTAAATTATGTGAGTCCACTCGCGAAGTAAATTGCTTCGTTTGGAATGAACGATAGGTGCCGGCAGAATGCGACGCGCGTAACGCTGCTTGAACATTTCTCTAATGCGAGCAGGGGTTGCAGTAATTTCTCCCTAATTCGCGCTCAGATTGCGCACGAAAATCGTTGTTTTTATAGTCGTTGACGAACGGTGACTATAAAAACGAGCCGGAAGGCTCGAATAATCGTGTCTCTTCTTCCCGAATTGTCCATTTTTGGGCGCAATCTGAGCGCGAATTAGGGAGAAATTATTGTACTTCCTTGGCTTGCAATATTGCACATTTATTCAGGGCTACAGTAGATTCTCCATAATTGACGCTCGGATTGTGCACAGAGATGGACAATTTATAATGTAAAATAATATAAATATAATATAAATATAATGTAAATATAATATAAATGTAATATAAATGTAATATAAATATAATATAAATGTAATATAAATATAATATAAATATAATATATAAATATAATATAAATGTAATATAAATATAATATAGATATAATATAATATATAAATATAATTTATAAATATAATATATAAATATTATATAATATAATAATATTTACAAACTTTTTCCCGCATATTTGTCAACACTATCGTCATCAGGAACTAAACTGAAACTGTATTCCTGGTAAGTATCGTAATTTAAAATCGGGTAGTTACAGAAATTGTTGAGATCTCTAATACTGTCCTCGTGTAGTTGCTATTTAGAAGCCCCGTAGGTGCAAATATGAATCGTGTGTACAGCGGGAAACGGTAAATTGCGTTGCCAAACTTCCCAATTACACGGTTAATCATACTTTAATTGAGTTCGACCAAGCAGAGCATTAAATGTCGGACGGACGTCGATGTAATTCAACATCTGAAAAAGAAGACTTCGTACTCGGCTCGTCCCATAACGCGAACGCATTCATGCAGAAGTCACCGAAACGATCAATATCCTGCCATCTGTTGTCGTTTCCCTGGAAGCTACCATCGAGCCGGCAGCCGGTATCTGGGCAACTAGAGGGGATGATTTATAGTTGATTATATAAATATTCTGAAGGACCCGCGAAAAAAGCTGACTGTATACGAGATCACAGATCGAAATTTATTCTGGCAGACAAGCACATAATGGGAACATGAATTTTGCAGTTCGTCAGACTTGTTGCAAAATTTACGATAAATAACGACGATAACAACGATAACAACTTATTACATATTTGTAGAAATTATTTATATATTTATTTATTATTATATATATATTTATTTATTTATTTACAGTATATATTTACATATTTGTTTATATTTATTTACAGTATATATTCAGTATTTATTGATTAACACATTTTTGGAGACGATGTTTCCAAATCTGAAATCGTGGTTTTAATAATAATTTGAACATGGTATTATGGACAATGTTATACTTGCACTTCTATATATATTATATTATATATTATATGTTATTATATATTATTATTTGTTATACTTATTACATATTATTATATGCTATACTTATCATATATTATTATATGTTACATTATATATTATATGTTTATACATTATTCGCAATTCATTTCGATATCTGGAAGGTTTTTTTTTAGACTTAGAATCTGTAAAAAAAATTGAGTGAAAGCAATTTGACTTTTTCACTTCCCTTACACTGTAATTTCTTCCACAGCTTCGTTAATAGTAGTCACGCGATTACAATAAAATATATTGTCCAACAAGAAACATTCATTTTTTCGTGAAACCGTAAATCTCTTTGAGATTTGCTTTTACTTATCAGAATTCTCTGTATGATTTACAATTAGTCGACGACAGTAAATAATTAATATCGACCAGGTTCGTTCTCGTTTCCGAATTTACCGAATCAGCTTGACGATAAATCCATCGTACAAAAGGGTCGACGGGACGATGGCGGGGAGGGGTGGCGAAGGGGGGTGTACGATATGGGGAACGATAATCGATCGGATGAAGTAGATTTGCAGAAATAGAGACGTGGAATGGAACGCGGGGTAAGGACGAGCCAGCTTACAAAGAGATAATCGTACCGGCAGAGTTCCGAGTAGACTTAATGTGATTGACTCATTATCGCTTCGGATCTTGTTCCTCAAACGACATTATCGCCAATACCCAGTTTACTGCTCTCCGCTAAATTA